CCTGAACAAAGAAAGATCTTTACACATAATAAAATGACAGAAGAAAAGCAATTTTGCTACATCCAATATTCCTTTTTCCATTAATAGTTTTTCTAACACCTTATTTGCTAACAATATAGACACCCTAGATCATATTATTTTAATTAATAACTCTTACAAACATGGTTGACATTGGTCTCTCTTCTTGGATAGGTGATAATCAGTGCTCTAACGATTTCTTTAATTAGTTTGATGTTGATGATTGTTCAGTAAATCTTTGACAATCAGAATCAGACAAGACAACCGGTTGGTCTAGTGAAAGCTAGTTTTCTAGTTATGAATATTAGATAGCAATTTTTATTTTTTACTTATGTATCTGTTTTGGGATTTTTATGTATACTATACTGAAACTGATTTTTATAATAAAATATTACATCACCATGTCTTTAAAAAAAAAAAAAATAAATAAATTAAAATTTTGTAATTTTAAAAAATATTAATTTAATCTTTAATAATTTTATTAAAATTTATTTTTAATAAAAAATTAAAAAAATTTTTATTAATAGTAAAATAATTTAATTAGTTTACAATTATAAAAATTATTATAATAAAATTTTTTAAAACTTAATATAAAATAGAATTTTTTTAAAAACTTCTTAATAAACTTAAAATATTTTCTAATAAAGATAATAAAATTATACTAAAATATATTTTTTATATAATAAATATATTAATAATGTTTTTATTAATTATTAACTATTTTAATTAACTAATTATTATAATTTATATTAAATATAAATAAAAAAATTTTTAATTAATATTTTTAATATTTTATTTATATATTATATCATAATTCATTTAAAATAGTAATAATTTTAATTTTTATTAATAAAATATTATTTAAATTTGATTTTCTTTATTTTTTAAATGATTAAAATTTTTTACTATTTAAAATTTTATTTATTAAAATTTTAATTAAATAATATTTTTAATAAAACTATATATTTTAAATTATTAATTATACAAATTATATATATTATATACAATTATATAAATTATATATTAAATTAATATATATCTTTTATAAAGTATATATATAAATAGAGTAAATTGATTGACTCATAAATTAAGATTTAAGTTATTTTAATAGGTTTAAATAGATATTATTTAAAACTTATATATTAGGATTTAGATACTTATTTATTATAAATTTATTTCTATATTTATATTTTTTGCGATTTTAAACTTTTATTTTTAAAATTATAAATATTTATAAAAACTTTAATATACAAACTTTTTCATATAATCATAAAATTCTTATTATTTTCGTGTGATAATTAGCCAACTTAGCTAAACAACTGTGATCAATGCATGTAAAATTGTTGTGTAAGACTGGGCGTGATTTTTATATCACACTTTTCGCTTTAAAGATCAACCCAATCATAAAAATCGTGTCACGAGGAATCAAAGGCCACTATATATATATATATATAATTATATATATAACCGGTCACTCCCCCAAAATAGTTTGCCCTTCTAATAATTCCACATACCCCCCGGTATTCTAGCCTTTGTACCTTCAAAAAAAAGTTTCGGTTCATCTCTTCTCTCTGCAACACACAATTTATCACTTCACAAATAACTACTCTTTTTTCTTATAAACGAAATGGCACTTAAAAGAATCAACAAAGTAAGTTGTGTTAAATCATTATATTAGAAGAAAAAATTTTTTGTTCAGTGTTGACCGTTGTCTTTTACGGACCTTGGTGGCTTTTTTTACCGTCGTGCTCTTTTTTTTTCACTTTAACAAATCCTCAAGTTCCTTTTGCGTAAATGCGATGTCTTTTGAGCAAAGGAGATGTCAATATACTGGATCAGGGCCTTGATTGTTTTTCATAGTATACACTTGGTCTTCGATTAAAAAGAAGTCAAGTACAACTTCATATATATACCATTGTATTGGTAACAAAAGTTTTAGATGTTTTTTTTTTAGTCTAATATTACGTATATATGGAATTATGTTTTATAACTAAAACTTATGATTTAGAGATATTATTTTATTTTATTTTTTCACCTTTCAACTGCGGCAATAACGCTTATTAATTTTTTTTCCCTTATTCTCTATATTATCAGGAATTGCTCGACTTAGGGCGTGACCCACCGTCATCGTGTAGTGCTGGTCCCATTGGGGATGATCTTTTTCATTGGCAAGCGACAATTATGGGTCCTGTAAGTAGTCTTACTCTGGTCTCTTTTTCAAAACTTTCACATAAATATTTCTGATTTTCTTTTTTCTTTTCTCACATCATTTGATATTAATTTGGATTAGGGGGACTCTCCATACGCCGGAGGGGTATTTTTCCTTAATATTCACTTCCCCACAGATTATCCGTTTAAACCACCAAAGGTATATACGATTGTATAAAATTTATTTTTTAGGATGCTCACTCCTACAAGGACTTACACATCATTTTATATGTAGGTAAATTTTACAACAAGAATTTATCATCCGAATATTAACAGTAACGGAAGTATATGTCTGGATATTCTAAGGGACCAATGGTCACCAGCTCTTACTATCTCGAAAGGTAATTTATACTAATTTATTAAATTGTTACGTAACAGGTCTTAGCGTAAAAAAAAAAAAAAAAAATAATAATAATCAAAATTATTATTTCTTCAAGTGCTTTTGTCTATTTGCTCAATGTTAACTGATCCTAATCCTGGTATGTATCTTACAATCTTTTTTTATCTTTGTTTAATTGGATCTAATCTTTTGCCTCTTTTGAAAAATACTAAATGTTAGATGATCCACTTGTACCCGAAATTGCGCATGTGTACAAGACCGATCGTTCTCGTTATGAAGCTACTGCTCGGGAATGGACGCGCAAATATGCTAGTGAGTATAACTAATTATATGACCAATGTTTATTGTCATATTGTTTCTTTTTGTTTCGTATTTGTTTTACAATTTAATAAATTGTTATCATACTATCACTGACAAAACAAAAAAACAAAAATTTCAATGTAAATTTCAATATAAATTTCTTTCGCAATGTCCTTTTCTTTTTCTTGTAATTTTTTTACATTACATTAGTGTAATGGTGGCTTTATGGGACGAAAGGTTATGTTATAGGTTAATTAAATATCTTGAATTTTTTACTTTACGTCCCTCTATAGCAGTATTCTAGTATAAGTTTATTATTATTTTCTTTGTAATATGTGTGCGCGCGTTGGTTTGGTGCAATATTGGTGTTTAGCTAGTCATTGCACCTTTTCTTTCCTTTTATTATATTTTAACTTGTTGTATTACATCTAAAGAAATTACTCAGTGCTTTTAAATTTTTTTTTTTACATTTTCACAATAAATTTTTTCACTTTATATAAAGCATTAATAATATTAGCGAAAAATATAGAGCACAAAAAAAAAAAAAAAAACAAAAAAAAGATCTACTTTACATACATCATATGTATTGCTTAAATATATTTCTAAATTTTCAATAAATTGCATTTTGAGGAAAATAGCATGCGACGTGTTACGTAAATATAGTTTTCAAATGATTATTATAAATATTTAAGTCACATGATCAAAGCAAATTACGGATAAAAAAAAATTCTCCGACACTCTCTTTCTTTTTAAATATCTATATTTTATAGTCATTTATTTATAAATTAATTTCTCCAATATTACAAACGAAAAAATAAATAAATAAATTAAATACAAGAGAAGAAAAGGAAATGATGTATTATTATAATAACCAACAAAATATGTCTTGTTTTATAATTTTTTTATGGTATAGTTGTGAAAAAAGATAAAGTAAATTTTTTACTTACTTCATTATCTTTTAGCAAAGATTTCGATATCTTTAAGATAAAGGTGATTATTGTTAAATAATAATTTGATTGTTTTTATTCTAAAAAAAAGAAAGTGAACAAATGTATTTTGGTTGTAAAGAAAACAAAGAAATCCATTTTAAATATATAAGTTTTATATATATTAATCAAAGTTAAAAAATGGATGCATTTTCTTCGCCTATCTAATCAAAAATATATATTAAAACTAAAAGTAATGAGCTAGTTATACTAGAAATAAATAGAATAATGAATATCTATTTAGTATAATATAAATAATTGAAAAAAAAAAAAACACCCAACCAAAACTATTTTCACATATTATTATATATATATATATCTATATGTATTTGTCTGTATATATATATATATATATATTTATATATTTGATAAATAATAGGGTCAAACAATAAAAAACTGTACAATATACAAAATGATGAGGGTTTTGTTGGAAAAAAGGAAAGGATAATGTTTTTCTAATAAAAAACATTGAAAAGAAGTCAAGCGAATAAATCTCTTCGCTTAATAGTACACCAATTTGTGTGTATAAAAATAGGAGTAAAGCATGAGTTGTGAATAAAAGAATGTGATAAATGTATAATTTGTAAAAGGAAAACAGCACACAATTGCTCTTGTTAGAAAATATTAGTTATGAATATTGCTTGAGTTGGAAGATAAGTATTGAATAAATTGTGAAAGACATATTATTTTAACATCTATGATATCTTTGAGAAATGAATGTCTTCTTGTAAAAATGCTACTCGACAAGTATAGGTATGGAAAAAGTAAAAGTTGAAGATTACACGATATTGGACTTTGATAAAATGACTGTAAACCTTCACTGTACATAATCACCTATCCAATATCGAAAACATTAACAAGGTTGAGAAGTCAATCATAAGATGGTCAAAATATGATGATGATGATGATGATGATAGTGGAAATAAATAAGGATTTTAAAATAATTGTATCATACTCAAAAGTAAAAGAAAGGATAAGATAAATATAAAAGTACCAAACCAATGTTTTGCGACTGCTTTGACAAATATAATGGGAACGGAAAAAAAAGATAAAATGAAATATTAAAGGTAAGGTGATCGGATGATAAGATTTATTTATTGATTTAATAATTGATTTATTCGAATATTATAAATTTAAAATTTACAATATTACGAAGTTGAGGCCTCTGTTTCAATTGTCTCGTCGTAAGGATTTTTTTCCCCAACAGCTTCCGCTTCAATTTGTTTCGTAGAAACATAATCATTATGTTTAATAGTCTTAAACATAAAATCTAAGAAACGTTTACCATACCATCGCGGATGTACAGCAGAAATCATCAACTGAAAAAAAAAATCAAAATTAAAAAAATTTCTCGTTATTCTACAAAATATATTTAGAAATGTAAATTTATTAATAAATACCTTGTCATCTTTTAGTGATTTCCATGCATGTTCGACCTTCTTAACAGTATTATATGGCGTCAAAATATCAATAACGCCCAAGTAATAAATGTAGTTGGTAGGATTATTTTGTTCGTCTGTGCCGGCAAAGCCACCATCATCCATATTAAATATGCACTTTCGGCGTCTAAAGATAACCAATGAACGATTTAAAATTTGTAACATATTTATTAAAGAATATTTCTCGAATGGTCTGAAATTAATAATTATACTAGAGAGACTTACTCATTATGTGCATCTAATACGAGCTTTGTGGTCGAAGGATCTAATTTCGATGGTTCCGTTTCCCCTACAGCTTTTCGTAATTTCGAAGCTTTACTTTCCCGCTTATGACTCGAAGGGGTGCGCTTAATTTTCTTTGTATCTGGCTACATTAAATCAGACGGACATATGAATTTTCAGTATTATAAAAGGTTTTTTTTTTTTTTTTTATAAAGAAAAAAAAATGGTATACTTAACGTACCTGGAATACAAAGAAATCTTCTCGAACTTTATCCTTATTGCCACGGGAAGTATCATGTAACCCTACTAAAAGGCTATAATCCATAATATTCAAACGTTGAAGCAGCTTATATAATGATGATTATTTTTTTTTTTAAAAGAATTAATTTATGCAAATATGAATAATAAAATTATGAAATTATATTTAATTAAAAACCTACTGAGACGTCTTTTTCGAGCTGCTCGACAAAAAGTTTACGTTTTTCGGGACCAAGTTCCAAATGTCGGCCACGTTTAATCCAATTCAAATCTTTAAGGACCGCGCGTGGGTTCTTAGTCGCTTCCGCTTCATCATATTCACGTCCAACAGTTGATCCCTAATAAAAATTTATATATAATTTTGCACTTTGAAAATCATATAAGCAATATATATATATATATATTAATAAAGGTACCTTCAAATCATAAGTTTCATGAATGTCTCGATGAGGTGGGAATATATTATTCATAACTACGAAATGAATCTTTGGTCCACGTGGTAATTTCACTCTATGAAGTCCATAAAAGCGGGAAAGTAGTGTATCTGGGTTATTTCTTATATGCTATTAAGAATAACATAAGAATAACTCTAAGTTTTCTTTTTTTTTTTTATTGATATAAAAAATTTTCTCTAAACAATTAAAATATTTTTGACAAACCTCATAATATTCCTTCAAAACCTTGCGCAAAAATTTGTGCTCAGTGTGATGTATAGTCTTAATAATAAAACGATAATCTCGGGAAAAATAAAAGAAACTTCCACTTTTACCCGGTGAACCCAACTCCGACAAAATATATTTACTTGTCAAAGAAACAAGATAATCAGCAGCATCGATGTGAAAAAATTCTCGAAGACTACGGAAAACCCATGGAGCGTAATCTTTGAATTTAAAGTCATATTTAGCTGAAGGTGTGAGTTCGTTACCCGTTCTATATAAATATATATACAATGTGAATAACTTTTCAAAACACTGAAGCTGTTCAATACTAATCTATTAGTTACAAAAGTTTCTTACATATCAAATGAAAATTTGTGTGCGGCCTTGAAATCGGCATCGATTACTCCTTTTTGTATCTTTGCATTACATCGAGATACCTTTTTAAAAAATTTTTTAAACAAAATCAAAAAAGAGTATATTATATTTTAAAAAAAAGTAAATTATGATAATAAACTTACGCCCACTCGTATACCCGTCAGCATATTGTACATAAGAACATAATTCACGTGATCTTCACCGATCCTTGTACCGACCATAACCCCATCATCTATATCATCCCTATCCTTGTCCCGGGTTCTACGCTTTGATAATCTCCTTTTAACATTTTCTGCCCATTTTTGTGTCTCTTCGTCAAGTGCGATGTCTTCATAAATATCTTTATCATTAATAGTGTTTCTTCTATGTTTCCCATCTTTCTTTTTATTTGCATCTAGCTCATCCAAAGCTGATGTATTTTTCTTTGATTTCCCTGCTGTGGTAGCTGAACGTTGAAGAATATTTTGACTTTTATCATCTGTCAAAGCAGTCATACTATTAGGTCTTCGTTTGGGTGATTGTGGAATCGGCGAAGTAAAACTTCGAACAAGTCCTTTGGATGTTTTTATTTCTTGTACCGAAGTATTATTTTGCGAATCTGTGATTGCATTGATTCCAGATATACCGTCTACATCATTGGTATTAGTTGGCTTTGATGTAACATTTGCGGGAAAACTAACTGTCCTTTTTTCATCAGTAATAGATATTGATTGCTTATCTGATGAATCAGAATGAGTTCTTGAAGGGCGAATGTCTTTAGATATAAATTCGCCGGTAATCGTCATACTATGTTTATTAAACATATTTGTTGGTGACGAAGAGTATATTGTTTGTGTGTCAATTATTTGTGTTGTTGTTGTTGTTATATTTAGTGGCTCGACAACATTATTAGGAGGTGTGTGTCGCCTTTCAACTTTTTCCGTCTTTTTTTCCACGACATTTTCAGTTACCCCTTTATAAGTTAAAATAATTTAAGTATTGAATAAAAAATACTAAAGATGCTGTAATAAAAAATGAGAAAAATTGACTATACAAACCAATAATCAGATGTTTTGGCGCAGAGTTTTCACTCACTGTAGAAGCCAACATTGTTGCGGTAAAAACTCTATTCAAATATTTTAAGTTCTCTTTTGACTTTATTTATGTGTAGAGACAGATTATCTAGACACTTTTTGGTTAAGGTTGCCCAAAAAGTGAATCGCAAAAAAAAACGAAAATAAGATGAAAGCAATTAAAGTCTAAAGATCGAGAAAGAGGAGAAATAAAATATTAGCAAAATTATTAAAACTAAGAAGAGTAGTCAACCCTTTTAACAAAAAAAATTTTTGTGTCGTAAAAATTATGAGAAAAGAAGAAAGAGCGTAAAAGAATTCGGTATAATATAATATATAAAAGGAAAAGATAAATTCTGAGAATGTAAAAATAACAACTGGATATATGTAGTTAATTAAGATGACCGCAGTTTGGAAATTTCTAATTTTGTCACCGTATTCTCCTTATAATTGCCTATTAAAAATTCAGAAAAATTAATTGGCTACCATACTATTGGATTTGGACAGTTCAGTCAACTTGACATTTTACAGTTTAATTATTTCGACGCGAAACATTTATCGATCCTTTAAAAACAAAATTTCATCCCTTCGATTTTATTTAAGCGAAAATGGCTGAATCTGAATTTGAAAACAACTTTGATGATCTTTTGCACAGGCCCTCAAGCAATACCATATCTGAAACTTTAAGTGAAATGGATGTTTCCAATCCATTTCATGATGTTGTATCACCTTTAGTTGCAGCAGAAGAAACTTCTGACACCGAAGTGAACGATTCTAGCATTTTAAATAGTCAGGTTAATCATAAAAATAGTTTAAAAAATTCTGCAATATTTTCTTTGAGGCTTGATGAAAGGGAATTCGAAGATGTAGATGTGTCTTCCGTAAAAGGAATTGATGTTACTTCGTCAGTTTCTACTGAAAGTAATATTCATGAAAATAGTAGTGGTGAAGACTCCCTTGAAGACGAAACTACTATTACAAGATCTCGCAATGATCGAAGACTTGCAAATTTGGGTTATAATTCAATCCAGGTAAACTTTCGCGTTGTTAATATTTGTAAATGTTGATAACGAAATCATATTTGTTTTTTTTTTCCTAGTCTGATCTGCAAAACAGCTCAATGCCAAACTTTGATATCACAGTTGAAGATCCTCAAAAGATTGGTGACGCTATCAGTGCGCACATCATTTATAAAGTCAGAACCCGAGTATGCATTTTCTTTTTTTTTGTTTTTTATGGAATTATAAGATGCATTTAATTCCCTAATTGTTACTTATTAATACTTTTAATCTTTCACATAATTAGACTACGTCTTCGGCTTTTAGAAATCAAGACTTTACCGTATTAAGACGATATCGCGATTTCTTATGGCTTTATAATCAGTTAACTTTCGGTAATCCCGGAGTCATTGTCCCTCCCGTGCCAGGAAAACATGCCATTGGTATTCAATCTAACCTATATTTTAATTTTAATTTTATAATTTATTTATAACTTTTGTATATTTTAATTATCAGGTCGTTTTCAAGATGAATTTGTGGAAAATCGACGTCAAGCTCTTGAAAAATGTTTGAAAAAAATCACTTCTCATCCTATATTATATCGTGATCCGGATCTAAAGTTGTTTTTGGAGTCTGACACGTTCACTATTGATGTGAGTTAATTTTTGTTTTGTATTTTTATAATTTTAATCAAGAATTCTAACTCTATTGTTTATTGATATTTAGGTCAAACGAAAAAATCAAGACGAATCCAAGGGCGTGTTAAAGTCATTAGGTGAAGCAGTGTCAAATGCGACAACTTTCAACAAATTTACAGAAACAGATGAAGTGAGTTATTGACGAACCAATTATATGTTATTATCAATCTTAATTAAAAATTGTACGATAATTTCAGTGGTTTGAAGGTCGAAGGAATCAATTAGACATTCTGGAATCACAGTTGAAAACATTGCTTAAATCAGTCGAATCCATGGTAAAACAACGTAAAGGTAAAAATTCTTGTTATATCAATATACTTCATGATAATAAACTTTATTGATGTAAAAAAACGTATTATTATTTAGATTTGGGTGGTGCAACAGTTGAATTTGGGGATAGCTTATTATCATTGGCCGATGCTGAACTCAACATCAACAAATCTTTGGCCAATAATTTAACGATTTTAGGAACTATACAACAAAAAATCAGAGAATTGCACGAGAAACAGGTTTCTTGATATATTAATCTTTAAGTAACATTTTATGATATTAATTCTTTCTGACAAATTTTATTATTATTATTATTAGGCACATCAGGACGTGATAACATTAGAAAATACTATAGAAGAGTACATTCGCATAATTGCATCCATTAAAGTTTGTAATATTTTATTTATTGAAAAGATCTTTTTTTTTTCCTCTTTAATAATATTAATTATATTTTATATAGGTTGCGTTTAATTCACGTGCCAAAGTTCATCAGACATGGCAAAATTCCATTTCTGATTTGCAAAAGAAAAAGGCCTATTATGAAAGATCAAAAGCACAAGGAAGATTCAGTCAAGAAAGGCTTTCAAATATGTTGACTCAAATTGTTGATGTATATATTATTATATTGATTACCCGTTGTTTTGTTTGTTTTTAAAAAAAATAATAATATTCTTATATGATTTACTTATTTATACAGTCCGAATATAAAGTAGATGAATATAAACAAGAGTTCGAGGATGTGTCTAACCTTATCAAAGCTGAATTGGATCGATTTGATAAGGAAAAGGTAGAGGACTTTAAGAATAGTGTTGAAGCTTTATTGGAATCGATGGTTCAAACTCAAATGGAAGTAAGTGAAAAAAAAAAAATAAATAAATAAATGGTTCTCCTTTTGATGGAATTGATAAATATTTAAATTATCATTTTATTATTTCAGGTTATTAATCTATGGGAAACTTATTTCCAACAAATAGAGAATTCCAATTTGGAAGATAGTACTGCAACATAAATTCTTTTATATTGGATTACGGATTCATTCATAACTATAGCTCTTCAACGTTATCATTTAATATAATGATTTGAGGATTTGATTAATTATTTTAGATTTTAGAATTATTTATTGAAAAAAAAACCTCCGAATTTGATTTTAACCTAATATAATCTTCTATACAATAGATAAATATTCTTATTCTTTTTCTTTTATCTATTTTTTAATGCGAAATAAATATTGAACAATGTGTGTATGTTTTTTTTTTTTTTAAAAAAAAAAAAAAAATATCCCTCAAAATTATATATTTTCAATAATTATTTATTTCTTCTTTTTAGTTCGACGAGTTTTTTTACCCAAATTAAATGCAGTAGCTTGTTCTAAATCACGTCCTAAATTATCTAAATCTTTTACTTTATAAATTCTTACAATCCAATTTTCAGTTGTATAAGCTTCTTCAAGCGTACTTAATTGAATAGTTTCCGAAGGTAATCTAGCATTTCTAACACGATCAATTCCTTGACCATTAAAGAGTTGATTATAATTATGATAACTCAATTTGTACATGATACTATTACGCATAGTTGGGCTAGCTTCATCATCTACCCTATATTCACCACGTGAGGTAAAGTAATTTTCTTCCTTTACTTCATTAGGATAAACACCTTCAGCTATTCTTATCATCCAAAGAAATTTATTAATATCATCTCCTGAATAACCTAATAATCCACCAAAGATAACTAAAACATAATTAACATCATGCCTCCTCATAATTTGATATGCAACTTCTTCAGATGAAGCCATGGCTTTTCCAACTGTAGCTATGTGAGTATTATTCCACGTATTATTATCTACTAAGGTAGTACGATCCGCCATACCAGCGATTTGATATCCATAATCCCACCAAGACATTACCCTTGAATTATAATCCGTATTTTTTCTAAGCCAATAATAAGCCTCTCTAAAATCGTCAATAATAAAAGATGTTCCATCATTATTTCTTGAAGCAAGAACGATTGATGGAGAGGAATACGCATTAGATGTAACCCAAGTACAATGCCAAACAAATACAACTAAAAAGAAGAAGAAATTCAAAAGGACTATGATACGAGTATCAAAACCTTTAATTTTAGGTTGATTTGATGATGAACGAGATCCACCTTCTTTAACTTTTTTAGTGCCAGGTTTTTCCGAATGCTTTACTTTGTTAGATGATTCAGATTTATCTATCGATTCTTCCGTTTCTAAAGAATTTGCATCAAGGTATAAATCCAATATATGTGATACGGCGACAGCTGCCGTTACACATACAATTGGTGTCAAAGTCAACATCAAACGAACCATGACACCGGCAAAGTAAGATGAAGTAATTCCATATAAAATTACGAAAACGTGTTCATCTCGTAGTTCACGGAAGCATAAATATATCCCGGCAGGAAAGAGAAAAACAAGCATTTCCAAATCAAAGAAGAAGGAAGGCCATGCAGTTGGTTGATGTTCTGAAACAGATGCTATAATTGGAATATATTTCTTTGCATATCCAGTATCCCATAAAGAATAAAAACGACCAGTCCATGGTGCGATATATCCACCCAAAGTTAATAATACCAGTGCAGAAAACATGATAATAAAAGAAAGGACAATGAAGCTCTTGAACAAAATTCGAAATTGTTTTGAGGCGAGATGACTTCTAACAAGTTCCACAAAAGCAATTATTTGCAATAAAAAAAATATACCTTTAAAATTAAAATTTTTTTTTTTTTTTTTAGATTATTAAATAAAAATAATATATTTTATGCATATAATAGATAAAATGGAATCTCCTTACCCATAGCGGCCATATGTTCACTTGTTCGGGTAGCTTGAAATCCAACAAATGGGATTTGCATCGACATTAAAGTACCAAGAACATAAAAAGAAGAATATGCTACATATAATCTAGATGAAAATCTACCCATTAATATTAATACAAATGCATGAAGTGGAATTAAATTGATTATAAAAACATAACCACCTACAAAAAAAAAAAGAAGGAATAAATTAATAAACATGTGAAATGTTTACAAATAACGAGTAAATTTTTTTTTTTCCCTTAAAAAGAAAGCGCTTTAATAATTACCCCACGCAGCTACCATATAAAAATAAAATAAGGCAGTTAAAGCACCATAAAAAGCAGAACCCTCTTTAAGGCCTTTGATCCATAGATAAAATGTAAACATAAGCAAAAATATTGCTATGCCTTCATTATCATATGAACCAGCAACAGACCGAGAAATGTAACCTGGAGCTATACCAATAAATGCAGCAGCTAAAAGACCAGCAGAAGAGTCTTTTATTTCAGCTGTGAAAAGGTATGCTGATATTGCAGTGAGAGCCGAAAAAGCTGGGGCGAGCAACACACATATATTACGAATATCTACGGGAAAGTTAAGCGCATGAAGTATGTTGTAGATAGTAGCTGAAGTTACCATTAAGCCTGGAAAGACCGTTCCACCTACGACACGACCCAATGGATACCATGAACGCTCGTCAAACCAATTCCAAAAATCATAAAATGAGGTTGAAACTAAATATTTTGTTGCTCTATAATTAAACCATGGATCAAACTCGTGAATTACACTCTCAAAACGAATTATACTAAATAATCTGCTAGCTATTGCCACAAAGGAAATAAGGCCAAGAATTACGACCTTAAGGAGTGCGGCTTGATTTTGTGCGTCTAAACCCAGTACCATGATTTAAAATGTTTTCTCGATAACGCGGTCATGTAAAATGAGTTTTCTCAAAAAAAATTTTTTTCCTATTTGATGATAATTTGGTGATAATAAAATATAACCAATAATTTCACGACACGAAAGTTACACGTAATGAAAATTTCTGAGGACAGAATGCCGACGATGGATTGTCGTCACACATTAACGCGAGAATTTTGAAATACCGTTTATCACGTGACACACTAACCAATTTCCGAGGAAAAAAGAGAGGTGAAAAATCCGAACGAGTAATTGTTTAATGAAAATCAGTTAACTAAATAAAAAAATTATTTTATTTTTCTCAATGAAATAATCACATAATGTGACTAAAATTGATTTTCGTCTGAAGTTGGAAATTCAGACGATCTTCGGGTGTCTGAAATTGAGATTCCAAGTTCAGTTAATTGAAATTGGATCAAAATATGCCAATTTTTTTTTACAATGTTTTTGGCAATTAAGTATTCTTTTTTTTAAGTTTATTCTGGTATGCTGCATCAGTTAAATAAGTGATTTTATTCATTTTCGTTTTCACCTATTTTTTCAGGTTTTTTTTTAAAACTTTAGACCGAAGCGATCAAACCTGAAAAAGCAAAAATAATCATTAAATTAAAAGAACATGTTAAAATACATTCACTTTCTTTTAAAACAGCAGAAAGCAAATAGAAAAGGAACTCCTATCTTTACGAG